GGATAATCTTATCTCTCATTTTCAATGGAATGAATCAACATTCAGAGAGGTTAAGTAAATTTCCAAAGGCTAGGATGTAAGGTCTGTTTGACTTAAAACTCATTCTGAAATTGTATAACATGGTCTGTATCTCAGTGGGACTCAGAATGTGGTGGAGGGAGGTAAGATTAGGTATAATGAAAAAACGAGATGATGAAGGGTAAGTTAAGGTATTGGCTGTGGGAATGAACAGATGCCACTGACAGCTTGAAGAGGTCAAGGTTTGGTGATTATCCAAGTGTGGGAAGGGTGGAAATGGATAAAGCCAAGGATGACTTCCAGCCTCTGAAATAGTAGGAGACCAGGAGAATGATGAATGAGACACATTTAGAGAGAGAGCTAGACATGAGAATTCAAATTTATAAATGAGCCAACTAGTAGGTAAGGCAAAAACTCTACATTCAGGAATCCTGTACAGATCACCTATTAACTTAATCAATTTAAATTGTGGTAAAAAAAACACCAAAAAACCTATAAAACTTACCATTTAAGGTCAGACTTCTGTTAAGATGACGGGTAGGTAACCATGGTATCGCCTCAGCCCACAACCACATCAAAATTACAACTAAACGACAGCACAACCATCCTTCAGAACTACCTGACATAAAGCTGAATAGAAGTCCTACAACTACAAAATTAAAGCAGCAGCCACATGGCGACTGACTCCCTCCTGTTGGCTTTGATGAAGAAAGCTACCATGTTGGAGAGGCCCACATAGCAAGGAACTGAAAAGGCCTGGCACTAGAAGCAGCCAGCCTTGGTTCACAGCTTGGCTTTGCCTGGGCACCTCCAAGCCCAGCACAAGAAGTAGCCATCTGCAGATCGCTTTTAGCTTATGCCTGGTGGCCCTGGGTAGAACACAGGCAGTGGCCGACCTTGCCCCAGAGCCAGCACACCCTGTGGGCAGCTTCAGACCATGGCGAAGCACCCCCCCCAACTACCTCCCCAAGTGACATGCTAAAGGAGTGGACTCAGTGGGTACCAGAGCCCTGCTGAAGTAAGTCTTGCTCTGTATGGTGGGCACCTGCACAGCTGATCCTTCAAGGTAGTCAGAGGTTGGTGGATAGTGGGCACAGCCAGTCCTTGAAGCTGATCAGTCTGAGTAAAGCCTGGCACATTGATGTGCCAACAGCAATCAAGACTCAATTACAACAGAAGGGTGTACAGTCCACACCAGAGGTATACCTTGAGGGCACAGCTGGGGTGATCAGGGAGGCTGTGCCACTAGGCCCTACAGGACACCTACTACAATAGGCCACCCTGCCAAACCTGGGAGATATGGCAACTCGACCTAATACATAGAAACAAACACCGGAGGCCACCAAAGTGAGGAGACAAATAAACATGTCCAAATGAAAGAAAAGCACAAAAGTCCAGGAAAAGATCTAAACAAAATGGAGATAAGCAATCTAGCAGATGCAGAATTCAAAACACTGGTTGTAAGGATGCTCATTGAATTTAATGAGGACCTCAAGAGCATAAAAAAGGGCCAGTTAGAAATGAAGGATGCATAGTCAGAAGTGAAGGAGGCACTAACTGAAATAAAGAATAATTTACAGGGAATCAATAGTAGAGCAGGTAAAGCCAAGAAGCAAACCATCGATTTGGAATATAAGGAAGCAAAAAATGCCCCATCAGAACAACAAGAAGAAAAAAGAATTAAAAAAAAAAAAAAATGAGGATAGTGTAAGGAGCCTCTGGGAAAACTTCAAGCATACCAACATTTGCATCATGGGGGTGCCAGAAGGAGAAAGAGAACAAAAAATTGAAAACCTATTTGAAAAAATGGCAGAAACCTTACCATTTAAGTGTATAGCTCAGTGGCATTAAGTACAATTACATTGTTGTGCAACCATCACCACCATCCATCCATAGAACTTTTCTATCATCCCAGACTGAAACTGTACCCATTAAATAATAACTCCCAACTCTGTGCTCCTCAGAGCCCCTGACAACCACCATTCTGCTTTCTGTCTCTATGAATTTGACTACTATAGCTACCTCATGTCAGTGGAATAATACTGAAGGAGAGAAAAAAATTATTTCCCTCTACTCCCCCCCCCCTTTTTTAATCCTCACCCGAGGACATTTTTGCATTTATCTTCAGATAGAGTAGGAGGGAGACAGGAAGAGAGAGAGAGAAACATCAACGTGAGAGAGAAACATCGAGTGACTGCCACCCACATGACCCCAACTGGGGCCGAGGACAAACTGCAACCGAGGTACATGACCTTAGTGGGAACTGAAACCAGAACTCTGGTCTGCTGGCCGACGCTCCAAAACGGCCAGGGCCCTTCTACCCTTTTGAATTCTTGGGTTGGGACTCCCTATAATAAAAGACAAACAGGAGAAAAACAGACATCACTTGTGTGTGTGTGTGTGTGTGTTAATCCTCACCTGAGGATATTTTTAGAGAGTGGAAAAGAGGGAGGGAGGAAGGGAAGGAGAGAAAGAGAAACACAAACACATGGAGCCCTGGCTGGTTTGGCTTAGTGGTTAGTGTGTTGGCCCATGGAACAGGGTCCCAGGTTTGGTTCCTGCAAAGGGCACGTACCTTGGTTGCAGTTTTTCCCTGGCTCCGGTTGTGGTTGTGTGGGTGGCAACCAGTCAATGTGTCTCTCTCACGTCGATATCGATGTTTCTCTCTCTCTTCCTCCCTCTCTTCCTCCCACTCTATCTGAAGATAAATGCAAAAATGTCCTCAGGTGAGGGTAAAAGAAAAAAAAGAGTGTTGGCCAGCGGAGCAGAAACACATGGATTGGTTGCCTCTTGTACCTGTCTGGATCGAACCTGCAACCCATGTATGTGCCCTTGACCGGCAAGTGAACCCATGGCCATGAAAAGGGTACAGGGAAATAATTTTTTCTCTCTTTGGTGCGCAGGCCAATGCTCTAACCTGAGCCACACTGGCCAGGAAGTAAAAAATATCTAGCTATGGAAAGGCCATGAATAACCTTGGCAACAAACAAGTGAACTTATTTGAAAGTAAGTCTCCTTTAATTAAATATGGCTGTTTTCACCCTGGCCGGTTTGGTTTAGCGGTTAGAGCATAGGCCTGCAGACCAGAGAGTCCCGGGTTCAGTTCCTCCTAAGGGCACGTGCCTTGGTTGCAGTTTGTCCCCGGCTCGGGTTGGGGTCTTGTGGGTAGCAACCAGTTGATGTTCTCTCTTCTTCCCTCTCTCCCTCCCGCTCTATCTGAAGATAAATGCAAAAATGTCTCAAGTGAGGATAAAAAATAAATAAAAAAATATGGCTGTTTTCAAATGGACTACATGAAATATAAACTTAAGGGATTCCTCATAGTTCCTCAATTACCCTAAAGTGACTTAATTTTTGTTTTTCTGAAACAGAATTTTTTTTTTTAATGGCCTGTTTCTGTGGCTGAATGTGGGGGGAAAAAACAAAAATCACCATCCTTAGTAAAGACAAAAGGAAGATATTGGGGTGGGGTGGGGGGCAGCCAGTTATGCGAGGTTACCAGGAAGAGCTCGGTAAATTTGTTTTGCAGATTTAAATCAGTGTCTTCTCCATTGATTAAGATTTCCTGTGATTTAGTCATCTTTCTCCACCTGGTTTAGAGGGGAGACACCCTTATAAGTAGAGATTTTCTTTATAAATGTTAAGTTCCCTTACAAAAGGGTAACTTCTGTGTTTTCAGAGCTTCTCTCTTGTCCGCTGTATCTTTAAATAAGTATCTCAAGACAACCCTCATGCCAAAGAGGCATATTTTGGGATGGCATATTCTGCTACCCATCATTCCTGCCTTTTGAAACTTCCCCAGTAAGTTTCACAGTCCAGAAGCTGAGTTGGTAGATTGTTCTGTATCTCACTAAATGAGTCTCTTAATCCTGAATTAAGTCAGAATTGTCTCATTTCAGGAGGTGATGTTGCAGGTGGGATTCCAAAGTTAGGCCTATATGGTACAAGCAACCAGGTATTTATTTATTTTTATTTTATTTTTTATTTTATTTTATTTTTTTAGCAACCAGGTATTTAAAAGAGGCTTTTCTATGGAAACAAACAAAGGTTAATGTTTACAACAGACTATAAACTCAGTTTTTGAGTCCAGAGGGCAGTTAGTCAAGAATGCTAACTCTGGTGGGGGTAGGAGCTCAGTTGATTAGAGAATTACCCCCATATGTCAAGGTCGCAGGTTCAATCTCTGGTCAGGGCACATACAAGAAACAACCAATGAATGCATAAATGGGTGGAACAACAGATCAATGTTTCTCTCTTCCCCTCCCTCTCTCCCTTCCACTCTCCAAATATTAATGGAAAAAAATATCCTCAGGTGAGGATTAACAAAGACCTAGGATAATTTACTTATTAACTTCTAAAGGTTCTGTTTACTTCTTTAAAAAAGTAAATCTGATTTTAAAAACTTTTTTAAAGACAGAGAGGAAGAGAGGGAGAGAGAGACATCCATATGTTGTTCTACATATTTATGCATTCATTGGATGATTCTTGTATGTGCCCTGACTGGGAATCTAACCCAAAACCTTGGCATATCAGGACAGTGCTCTAACCAAGTGAGCTACCCGGCCAGGGCTAAAGGTTCTATTTAAATTATATATTCTGTAATAAAGAATATGCTCTTTTAATGAAGATAGTCTGTTAAACTGGTTGTACCAGGCCAACAGGAACCTCTCAGTGAAGCTTACCTTGAGTTATTATTTTTTTTCTGAGACTAGACTCCTCCCAATACCAAAACCAAGAATTATTGCATCTTTTTGTGATACCCCAAAGCTGTTAGCACTGTGCTTTGCATGTTGTAGGTATTATTTGAAAATACACTTGACATATTATCTGTGGTATATTAACGGGCCATTAATTCATTAATAAACTCCAGCTTTGTCTTTTAAAATAGGACTAAAAAAAAATCCCTTCTCACAAAGGCGGCAACTATGATTCTCCTCTTCCCCTTCTTAAACTCTTCCATCACATAGAAGAAACAACTGATTTATAAAGTGTCAAGATGAAACTCTGCAGGGGAAGGAGGACCCGATACAGTGACGTTTCTGAGACCAGATAGTTGCGTCCGCAGCATGCAAAAGTTACCAGTTGGAGGTTTGGGGGCTGAAAGCTTTTCTGAGAATTCAGAGGTATTAGACCAGCTTTACCCAGCCCAGGGAATCCCTAAAGTCCCGGTGGATGGTCCTGGGGACCCGAGTGGCGGCTGACTCGGGCACTAGCCGCCGGCGGGCTCGCGCTCAGCCCGGCCGCTCCTCTGGCCGGGGACCGTTTGCAGCTTTGGCTGCGCACCAGGAGAGCAGAGCACCCAACAGCTCGCGGGCCACGGATGCGCGGGGGCGGCGGCGCCTCCGCTCAACAGTCGGAGCTAGACAATGGCTTTGAGCCATGCGCCAGAGCGGCCGTTAAGAGACACAAAACCGAGCTGGGAGCCTGCAGGCAGTGAGCTGAGCAACGGGCGGAGTACGAGAACACTCCGCGCAAAAGCCTACGACGCAGGCGCGGCCGCAGGCGGGTCAAGTCATGTAGCGAGACTGCGCGTGCGCGGCCGTCAAGGGCGGGGCCTGGAGTGAAAAACAGCGGCGGTTCTGCGCTCTCCGCTAGTTGGCGGCGCTGCGCTTCGCCAGCTGGACGCGCTTCCTACTCCCAGGCAAGACAGGCGACGGCTCATACTCAGGACTGTGATGTTGGGTAGCTGCAGGAGGGTTTCGGGATTCGAGTTAGAGAATAACTAGAAAAGTTAGACGATTGACATGTTGCGTATATTTTATTTTATTTTCCCCAGGGTATTAAAAAGTGACACTTGATCAACCCCAAATACCTCCCCATTCCACCTAACGTGTGCTTTCACTTCACCTAGGTCGTTGGTACCCAGGGAACAGACAGGTCTCTTGGTATAACAGTGTTTAGAACAAGGAAGATTGTTTAGTATATCAGGTGTTCTCAACCTTAGCCAAAAACTTGCCCCTCTTGGAGCACACTACCTACACTTGTGAGTCTATCGGCCACCTGCCTACATTTTAGACCAAGTTGTAGTTAAGAGACAGGCGTGCAATAGAGAATCGGAATTTAACTTAAAGTTTATCTGTGAATTATCGGATAGATATTGGAGCATCTCTAGCTTATTACATGGGACACTTTCCCCCCTGGAAATTTCATTTTGACCATGTGTGAAAGAGTAATCGCAAGCAATTTTAATGAGGTTGAGGGTTTTAATGAAATAGTCAAGCTTCTAGGGTTATCAAAGTAAATGAACAGTAAAAGGAAAGAATGGTGCCTTAGAGGTACCCTGGGCTACATTTAGCTGGGTTTGGCATAGTGCAGGTACTTAGATTTTCTGAGCTGTTGTCTGTTGTCCAAAACAATACTTACTGAATAAATTATGTGGGTTAAATGGTAACACGGAAAGAGATTGGATAACGCTTGCTTTCTCCCTTCCCTACTGATCTAGGTCACCATTTCATCCTGATCATTTATAACTGATCATTTTTTAAAATCTTTTTCTGTCCCCTATAACTGATATTTTAAAATTTACAGCCCAGTCACTGATTTCTGGAACTTGAGGATACATCCACATTATTGTTTCAAGGAAACTTCAAGAGACAAAAATGGAACAAAGCAATAACAAAGAGGTAGGTAATTGCTGCCCTTCCTAACCTGCTTATATGACTCTCAAGAGTTATTTTGGCAATTTTAGGATATAATGAGTTAATAAATCATTAAAATTACCCCTTAAAAATGTTTTTTAAAAGCAGGCTACAAGAAAGTTGCATATTTGGTTTGTATTTTTTTTCTCTTGGACAGAAGTGCCTTTTGGACTGGACTACTTTATAATACCGTTATTTAGGAGCAGAAATAGCTGTTAGAGATTAACCATAACTCCTTTTTCCTAATGGGGTCATGTTAAAGAAACATTCTGACATAATTATTAGGACTATTGCAATAAGAGCATGGCAGTTAGGGGCGAGACTGGGCTCAACTCCATATACAACAAAGACTAATGGATTTATAGCCTATGAACAGAGTGAAGGGGTTGAGGGGTCAGTTGATGGAAAAAAGAGATACCAAGAGTATGGGGATTCTTGCTAAATAATTTACAGATTTAATTCTTGCTGAAGGAAGGCCAAGGTGATTGCATACCAAGGGTAGGGGATTCTCTCTAAAATGACATAGTAGGAATCTTCTAAAACTGTACTAGGCAGGCCAAAGACAGGACAGGGTCCAGGCCCAGACCTAGTCAGAAGAAGTTGCAAAGGAGCTTGACTTCATTTTGGTCAAGGACTATGTCAGTCATGAACAGTTTCCAGCCTAGACTCCAGGTGTTGGAAGTTCACTAAAGAACCCTTGTGGCTAGGAGGCTTATAAATGTTTTATCAAATGCATTCATAAGTAATTTTCTGTTCAGCTGCCTCTGAGCTATGGAAAGCATAAGGCAAGCTTCTTAATAAGACAGGAGACTTAGATGAACTGTGGAGGAAATGCATTGCCACTTAATAATTTCAGAATAAAGGTGGTTGAAGGGCCAATCTGTCCTGCCAATTAATGGGGGTTAAGTGGTAACATGGGGATAAACCTATTTTTTTCTTATTTAATTCCAGAGGTCATGCATGATTTAGAACACTTTCTTTTTGTAAACTTTCAGCGCAACAATGTGATTGATGGTAATTTTGATCTTCCCATCAAGAAGGCAATTAATTTTTTCCCTCCGTTATACAGACAGCGTTACAGCTTTGTTAACGATCTAGTGAATCAACATAAACCCAAAAAGGTTGGTATTTGTTTTCAAACATTTAACTAAAACTGTCTTATAAAATATTTTGTCAAATACAGAAGTCTTGGTTAGTTATTGACCAGAGACTGTTTAAAAAGATTACTGAAAGGAGGGAAAAGATGAAAGAGAAAAAACTAAGCTTGAAAGAGCTGGGAGAGGGAAATGGAGTAAAAGTTTGGTTAACATGTGAAGTTAAACAGGACTTATTCCCCATCCCTCCACTAGGCTTATAAGTCTCAAGATTAATTTTCTCTTGTGTACTTTTTCTGCCAGAGAGATCCTTTCCTATGATGTTTCATTATGACTTCATTTTTGATACTCACTCCCTGCAAAAAAAGTCTCTGATAATACTTGACTTCTCTGGCTGTAAATGTCTTAAAATAACATTTGTCTCATCTACAGGTTGCAGACTTGGGGTGCGGTAATGCTTCGCTCATACAGATGATTAAATCACACAGTTGCCTTGAATTGATTGTTGGAGTAGATATCAATAAAGATAAAATAGAATTGCAAAGGTAGTACCTAGTTTCTGGAAGAATTATGCATTGACCTAAAACTAGTGGCACTATTAAATATACTTAAAGGACGTGTCAGTTTTATGCAACATATAAAATATGTTAAATGTTAAAATGTGTTGTGTGTTGTACACTGAGAGTCTTAGTTCACTGAATAGTGACTATGCCGTAATACTAATTAGCTGTGTACATTGTGAATACCTGTTTTCTACCAGTGTAGAAAGTACAGCTTCAATTAAGTAATTATAGTAGTCAATGCATTGCAAATTCAGTTTCAAATCTAATTATTTAATGCTGGACACCATGGTAACAGCAGAGCTTAGGCCACCACCAAAAATATTAAAAATGAGAGCAATATCAATCTTGTTCTTATTAGCCAGTTACTTTCTCTCATGAGGAAGTAAGATCTGGTGCTTAATACATTATGGAAAATGGGCCATGTCAAGACACACTGTTGTGGGTAGAAGATAATTCTCAGGTCTGTAGTTGGGATAATTCTAAACAGTTGTGTTCAAATGTCCTTACTTCTACAATAACACTTTGCAGGTGTAGATTGTCTCCATTCTCTGGGGATTATCTAAGTCCCCGGGATTTGAATTTGTCTATCATTTTGTATCATGGCTCTGCTGTGGAGAGAGACTCTCGTTTGCTTGGATTTGACTTAGTAACATGTATCGAGCTGTAAGTATTAAATGGATTCCTTCTGTATAAATTCATTAGAAAAATCTCACTGAATTAGTCTTGGTAAACTTTGTTTCCTAAATAATAATCTTAATTTTTATTTGTAAAGAAAATTGCTTGTCAGATGAGATTGGCTTTTTACCATTCTGTCTCATCCAGAACGGGTGAAGGGAAGGGGTGAGACTATTTTAGGTCACTGTTACATCTTCAAAGAAGGGATAAATCAATGTGGAGATAGACATTGTTTTGCCAAATCAATTAAGAAAATATTTGCAGGTGAGGCTAGATTTGATATCTTTCCCACTAACCATTTCAGAATAGAACATCTGGATTCAGAAGATCTGGCCAGGTTTCCCGAAGTTGTATTTGGGTACTTGTCTCCAGCCATGATTGTCATCAGCACACCGAACTCTGATTTCAACCCCCTGTTTCCAACAGTGACCTTCAGAGATTCAGATCACAAATTTGAATGGAACAGGAAGCAGTTTCAGACCTGGTGAGTTCTTAAGTGTGTTTTTTGGAACCCCATGGGAATTTAAAATCCTGTGAAGTAAATCTTTATACGTGACTGAAATGATTTGCTTTCTTCCAATAAAATTGATTTCCACAGTGCACCTTAGCAAAGTTAATAGGGAAGTTTGTTTTCTCTCTTAGGTCCCAGGCAAGTGTGGGAAGGGCAGGTGTGTGGGCCCAGGTGTGAGGGAGTCAGGAGTGTTGGTGCAGAGACTGGGAAACAGGACAGAGGGAAGGTGTGGTGCTGAGTGTGATGCCCTGGCCCAGGGGAGTCACCAAGGGGCTCCCCGGGGGCGTTCTTGGTGTAATTCCACACCCCAACAGGACTTGGGGTTATAGCCCTTTCGGTGTCCTTGTCCACTCCTCTACTCTGCTCCACAACTTTCCTTTTCTCCTTGTGCTTGTAGTTAATTAAACTTGCAATCATTGTCTTAATGCCCCTCAGAAAAACAAGCAGACGCCACAATGTGGCATAGTGTGGCGCTGTAAGAATTTGCATTTAGAAGCCTTTTTGCTTATTGTATTTTTCATGTTCCATTCTACTGGAAATTGCTATTTAATAGTAGCTCTACGTTTAGGAAAAAAGATCTGTCTCCTTGTTTTGATTTCAGGGCCTTAGGTGTGGCAAATTTCTACAGTTACTCTGTGGAGTTTACTGGGGTGGGGGAGCCACCAGAAGGCGCTGGGAATGTTGGATACTGTACCCAGATAGGAGTCTTCCAGAAAATCAGAGCGCCAGCAACCGAATCGTGCATTGTGGAGCAGTGTGGTCAACATGTTTATAAAATTGTGAGTATTCTTTGTCAGGTAGCTGTCAGGACAAGGAATACATTTACTATGGTGGTGAACTGTTTATCAAGAGTCCCCACTGTAGACGTAAATAGCGACCTTATTATGAGGTTGACATTGGGAGAAGCCCACCTGTCCCACAACTGTCAGAGCTTTGAGACCACCTGGCTTTTTACCAGGGTGGTCTTCTGAGCCGCTGGGGCCAACAGCGCCCCTTCTGTAATGTTTAGGATCCTCAGCAAGAGGAAAGCCAGCAGGTTTCACAGCTGGGCTCAGAAAATGACTTGGAATTGAGCCTCCAAAGGTCTCAGACCCCTTGGGTTTCAGGAGGGATGGTGAAGAATAAACACATTTCCCTTTTAATTAGCAACACTTTTTTAAAATCCTGTGTGTCAACTTTTTTTTTTTTAATCCTCACCCGAGGACATTTTTCCATTTTTTGTTCAGATAGAGTGGGAGGGAGAGATAGGAAGAGAGAGATAGAAACATCATTGTGAGCCCTGGCCAGTTTGGTTCAGCGGTTACAGCATCGGCCTGCGTTCCTGAGAGACCCAGGTTCGGTTCCCGCTAAGGGCACGTACCTCGGTTGCAGTTTGTCCCCGGCCCTGTTCGGTTGTGTGGGTGGCAGCCACTTGATGTGTTCCTTTCACATCGATGTTTCTCTCTCTCTCTCTGTTCCTCTTTCCCTTCCACTCTACCTGAACAAAAAATGGAAAAAAAATGTCCTCGGGTGAGGATAAAAAAAAAAAAAAGAAACAACATTGTGAAAGGGACACATCGAGTGGCTGCCTCCCGCATGCACGCCCCAACCAGGGCCGGGGACAGACTGCAACCGAGGTACATGCCCTTAGCGGGAACCGAACCCAGGTCTCTCTGGACCACAGGCCGACGCTCTAACCACTGAGCCAAAATGGTCAGGGCCTGTGTGTCAATAACTTGACTCCCATTATAAGTGTGGCATTTACAATTAGTAAGGTTTGACATTTAGACGTACAGTTAATTCTCTATGTGGTATAAAGGTACTACTAATGGTTTGGAACATTTTTCTATATTCTCAGTGGCTTCTTCCCTCCATTCAGGTTTATTCAGTTTCATACCCGAGTTTACAGCAAAAAGAAGTCCGCAAACTTGCATTAACAAATGAGGTGTCACGACAAGTCCAAAGCATGAGACAGAGATATGTCTCAAGTCTGAGTATACTTCAGAATGGCGATGACAATGGTCACAAGATAAATGACACTGGGCTCATCACATTTTCTGGACCAGTCTTCACAGAACTTGAAAAACTCAAAATAGAGAAGTCTCCCAAACCTTTCTGTTTTAGAAATAAGCTTTATGTACCGCTGGAAAGACTCCTGGCTTATCCCAAGGTGAACCGCTTATGTGATAACGTGGATGTGATGAGAGCGCTCATAGCTGACACAGTAAGACTGAGCAAGGATGGTTCTGCTGTGAAGATTGACCTGCGTGATGAGAGTCAGTGAGCTGTCTGTCCTGAAGGTCAGGGTCTCAGCAATAGATGGGCTCACTTAGAATGTTTTGGTGTGTCATTATTCAAGTAACTTAATTTCGAAATTACTTGATGTATTCTTTTTTTGGAAAAATAGGCTTGTTTTGTTTCTGGCTGTTTGTAGAGAGTTCCTGATATGATTTTTGTTGTTGTTGTAGCCATATATTGACATTAAAATTTTTTTAAGGAAATTAAGTGTTTCAAATTTTTTCCCAGGGAATAAGGATAGCTTTAAAATCTCTCTAAAGCCCTGGATGATTTTTCTCAGTGGTTAGAGCATTGGCCCATCCACCGAAGGCTTGTGGGTTTGATTCCTGGTGAAGGGCACGTACGGGGGTTGAAGGTTCGATCCCTGGCCCCGGTCAGGGCACGTGAGGGAGGCAACCGATCAATATGTCTCTCTCACATCCATATGTCTCCCCCCCTCCACTGTTTCTAAAAATCAATGGAAAAAAATATCCTTGGGTGAAGATTAAAAAAGAAAAAATATCTCTAGAATTCTCTACTGTAGGCTAAATTCTGACCTCTTATACTTAGCCTAAAGTATACAGAACGTGAATGCAGTGATTGAAGGAAGTGGAGGCCTCTGATATAAACACGGCCCATGGTATCTGAACACCCTCTTTGGCAGCTCACCGGTGGGAACTGGGGTGATAGTAGTGATGAAGAGAGAGTACCATTTCACATAATGGGAGGAAAACTGATTTCAGTGCGTGGCATTTCTTCCTGAGTGCGGAGGTAGGATGACAAGGCCTGCTCTGCTACCGTAGGGACTGACCAGTGCATCATGCTGTTGTCCCAGACTTGGCAAACACCAGGGACAAAGACAGGTGCTTCAGCTACCCCTGGAATATCCTAATCCAGCAGAAAGGATAAAAAACGAAGAAAAGGGACATAGGGCATTTGCTGGCTGTCCAGTAAGGTCTACCAACTGTTACCCAGTTGCTTGATTCTTGACCAGTTTGTCTTAACACATAATAGGAGCTGGGAGGTGGGTATTTTTTTTTAAATGCTGGGAGGCGGAGACTTCCGGTCAGGATGGCGGGTAGGTAAACGCGGTATCGCGTCCTCCCACAACCACATCAAAGTTACAACTAAACTACAGAACAACCATCATTCAAAGCCACCTGAAATCACACTGAATGGAAGTCCTACAACTATGGAATTAAAGAAGAAGCTACAATGAGATGGGTAGGTGGGGTGGAGGCGGAGGGGCTGGTCCCACACCCACGTGTGGTGGATAAAAATCAGGAGGACACCTCATCTGGGAAGGTCCTCCCTGAGGACTGAGGGGTCCCCGTTCCACACCAGGTGCCCCGCTCAGGGTCCCAGTGCCAGGAAGAGAATCCCCATCACTTCTGGCTGGAAAACCAGCGGAAGGAAACTGAGGCTGCTGGAGCCCCAGGCAGCTCCTCTTAAAGGGCCCGCGCATGGACTTACTCAGACTTGCTCCCTCCAAGCTCAGAGGGGAGGCAGCTCGAGGGGCACCAGAGACATACAGGGAAGAACTGAGCTGTTTGGCACTGGAGCGAGGGCTGGAGAGGAGGCTTTCTCCTGGACAGACCTTGCTATCAGAGGCCTTTGTTCCTTTGGTGAGCCCTTCCCTGGGGCGGCAGACAGCCGCCATATCTGGGACTCCAGCAACTTGGCTCAGGGTTTGTCCCATCCTGGTGACTCCTTGAGGCCCTGCCCCACCCAACTTTCAGGCCCACCCAAGATTGGCCTATCTTGGATACTGCTTCAGGTTTTCCCAAATCCTTTCAAACCAGCATCTGGTCTCAGCTAGCCCCATACCTCTCATTAAGTAAAACATAGAAACAAACACAGGGAGGCAGCCAAAATGAGGAGACAAAGAAATAGGTTCCAAAGGAAAGAACAGAACAAAACCCCAAGAAAAGAACTAAGTGAAATGCAGATAAGCAACCTAACAGATGCTGAGTTCAAAATACTGCTTATAAGGATGCTCAATGAACTTAGTGAGAACCTCAGTGAACTTAGTGAGGGCCTCCAGAGCATAAAAAAGGACCAGTCAGAAATGAAGGCGGCACTAACTGAAATAAAGAATAATTTACACAGATTCAATAGTAGAGTAGGTAAAGCCAAGAAGCAAACCATCGATTTGGAATATAAGGAAGCAAAAAACACCCAATCAGAACAGCAAAAAGAAAAAAGAATAAAAAAAAATGAGGATAGTGTAAGGAGCCTCTGGGAAAACTTCAAGCATGCCAATATTTGCATCTTGGGGGTGCCAAAAGGAGAAGAGAGAGAAGAAATCGAAAACCTATTTGAAACAATAATGGCAGAAAACTTTTCTAACTTGGTGAAGGAAACAGATACACAAGTCCAGGAAGCACAGAGAGTCCCAAAGAAGATGAACTCCAAGAGGCCCACACCAAGACACATCATCATCAAAATGCAAAAGGTTCAAGACAGAGAGTCTTGAAAGCAGCCAGAGAAAAGCAGTTAGTTACCCACAAGGGAGTTCCCATAAGACTGTCAGCTGATTTCTCAAAAGAAACTTTGCAGGCCAGAGGGGAGTGGCAAGAAATATTCAGAGTGATGAAAAGCAAGAACCTACAACCAAGATTACTCTATCCTGCAAAGCTGTCATTTAGAATCGATGGCTATATAAAGTTTCCCACAGAAGGAAAAGCTAAAGTTCTTCTTGAAGAAAAAGATAAAAAATATGAACAAACAAAATGGCAATGAATACATATCTATCGACAATTGAATCTACAAACAAAATGAACAAGCAGAACAGAAACATTCTCATAGATACAGATAACATTTTGTTGGTTGCCAGATGGGCAGGGGTTGGGGGAATGGGTGAAAAAGGTGAAGGGATTAAGAAGTACAGATTGGTTGCTAGACTGACAAACCTCAAAGGGAAGGGGGTGTGGGGGATGGGAAGAAATAAACCAAAGAACTTATATGCATATATGCATAACCAATAGACACAGACAACAGTGTGGGGAAAGGCAGGAGGAGGGGTCAGGAGTGGGGAGGAGGGGGGTCAATGGGGGAAAATGAGTAACATCTGTAATATATTCAACAATAAAGATAAGTTTTAAAAAAAAAATTCTGGGAGGCTGTGTGCCCACTTAGTCGTGCTCCGCCAAGGAGCAGGGAGTGAAAGCACACTGGCAACTTTACAGTAGGTAGAAGGAAAGATTTGGTGAAGCGGAAGGGAAAGAAAGAACAATCATCACATGTTAACCAGCTGTTCCCTCCTTAAATGTCATGGGCTCCTCCATCACATGCCTGTCCCCCAACCCTGCCTTTGTAGTTAGACTAATTCTTCCCTCCTGAGTGCATATAATCTAGAGGTTACCCTTCCCACCCCCATTCCCCATCCCAAAGCTCTTGTCTGTCCTTACTTTTCTAGGCTCTACACGACTTCCTTCTCATCACTGATCTTCTGTGTTACAGCCTAGATGATATGGTAACATGCATTTAATAATTAAAAAGTTTAATTTACAGCTCTGGCTGGTGTGGCTCAGTTGGTTGGGCATCGTCCCATGCACTGAAAGTCTGCAGGTTCGATTCCCAATCAGGTTACATGCCCGGGTTGTGGGCTGTATCCTCTGTGGGGATGTGCAGGAGGCAGCTCCCATGGAAACATCACATGGATGTTTCTCTCTAAAAATCAATTTAAAAAATCTTAAAATTTAATTTATAGAAGTAATACTGTAAAAATAAGACACTTCAGGACTTTATGGAATTTAAAGTAGTGGTGTGCTGTCCAACACCATGTGGAATTCCTCGCCTCTCAAATTCACTGTCTTAGAGGGAGCAGCCCGCTTACCCACGAGTCCTCACAGATTCCAGTGGATAAATGTCTATTTTAGACAACCATGCAGGTTTTCTTATGTCTCTTCCTAATTAAGTATACGTAGATTCCAGCATTCCAAGAAACAGTGGCCTTTTTCTAGGAAAACCACTCGAATGGGCCACATAGTTTTTAAATATAGAGACCCCAAGAACAGAAACTTAAGATGTGTTTGCTCCAAGGAATTAAACTGCACTGTGTGGCAATGAAATGTGCTTCCGACGGAAAGTCATCGGCAGATTTTTCTTGGAAAGTTTTCACCAACACTACCACGGGCCACCCCCCAGAGTAGGTATGACGTGTATTAGTTGGAACCTCCCTGGCCCTTGAGACCTAAGTAAGATCTGCCTCTGGTTCCTATTTCCATAGTCTTGGCAACTCCAAAACCCTTTTTTAAAGATTTCCGCAATTTCTAGAAGCTTAGGCGCTCACAGCAGGTTGAGATATCAAACTGCCCCATCAGCATCTGTCTCCATGACACGCACTCCTCCCCACCCTTTCCTTTGTTGTTGTTGTTTTTCTTATTTCGAACTCCCTATCTACAGCATACCCAGCAGTTAAGTTCTCTTTCAAATATCACTCTCAGCCCTCAGCCCCCACCGGGGCTCTCATTTCTGTCAGTGACCATCAAGGAATAATTCCAGATAAAAGTACTTCTCTCAGCTAGAGTTTGGATGCCGACACAACTACCTTGTTCCACCTACTCCTGTGGAAGATCTCGTGTGGGGCTGTTGACAGATCAGGGGAGTGAGCAGCAACAGTGGCTGCAAGAGGAAATGTTGACAGTACCTTCATCCAGGACGCTAGGGTTCGACTATGGCTAACACGGTTTATCTTGTACGTGGTGCACATTTTTGGGGATACCCCAAGATGGGGACCACATAGGTGGGGACCACGTAGGCGTCTTGCTGAGAACTAACAAGCTGGTTGGATCTGGAAGTCATAAATGTGTGCAATGTTAATTCAGTGTCTCGCAAGTAGTCTTTGAAGCCACTGGCATGTCAGTTGCAAATGAACACAGTGCCCTCTTTTGGGTTCCTAATGTTTCTGCCAAATTGTATGTGCTCTTTGCCTGCATTGTTGCATTCATCTCTAACCACGCCATTCCATCTGCTGTGACCCATTTCATCGTCCTTTCCAGAAACAATGCATTGCTCCCTACTTGCACACCTCATCCTTGACTCAGACTCTGTCAAACAGGCTGATTTTTTCCTTTTCCTTTTTTTTTTTTATCCTCACCTGAGGACATTCTTCCATTTTTTTGTTCAGATAGAGTGGGGGGTGGGGGGTGGGGAGAGAGAGAAACATCGATGTGAAGGGACACATCGAGTGGTTGCCACCCGCACGACCCAACCAGGGCCGGGGACAAACTGCAACTGAGGTACATGCCCTTAGTGGGAACCGAACCCGGGTCTCTCTGGACCACAGGTCGGCGCTCCAACCGCTCAGCCAAACCGACCAGGGCTCAAACAGGCTGATTTTTAACTGCTGTCTTTGTCCAGCCTTGTGGCTCTGTCCTGAAGCCCTTTATTTAGGACCACCCAGACCTTTCTAGTAGGAATCCTCATGGAACTGAATTTATAGAATCTTTCATTAATCTCATACTAAAGGGAAACACTTTTACCTTATTTAAGCAAAGTATGCAATGTTTTAAAATCCCTTCTCAAGTATTTCAAACTACTTAAAATTAGTACTGAAAAATATGTTTCCTTTGGTCATAACAACATGGAGTATGGGGAAAGAAGGGCAGACACAGGGTCATGTGGGAGGGGGTGTCTGAACTGAGTCACTGAGGTTCAATACCGGAATGTGGCAGACTTTTTCCACTTAGAGGAAATGCATTCTTTTGCTTTGAGGACCCTCTGATAGAAGATGCAAAAAACATGCCCTGGCAAATTTGGCTCAGCGGTTAGAGTGTCGGCCTGCGGTCCAGAGACCCGGGTTCGGTTCCCGCTAAGGGCACGTACCTTAGTTGCAGTCTGTCCCCGGCCCTGGTTGGGTCATGCGGGTGGCAGCCAGTCAATGTGTCCCTTTCACGACGATGTTTCTCTCTCTCTCTCCCTTCCTCCCACTCTATTTGAACAAAAAATGGAGAAAAAAAAATGTCCTCGAGTGAGGATAAAAAAAAAAAGATGCAAAAAACAAAAACAAAACAAACCCCCTAAACTTGGTCATGCCGATTTTCTACAGCGGTTTGAGGCTTCTGCAACACAGGAAAGTGCTGCTGAAATGACTTAAAGATTTAGTAGTGAAGCCGATTTCTTCAGAGAAGTGGTTCAGGAGACATCTCCACCTGCCTGAGTTGTACCTGCACAGGAATGGGGTCTAAACTAATTCGTACAGGAAGGTCTGACATTTTCTCATTGCATGGGTCCATCTGGAATAGAGATCACCAACTCGGGAATGTTTAAATGTAAGCCTTTTTTGTTTTGCATCTTGTGTAATATGGCATGGATTTACTCCACCAAAGATTTCCTATCATCATGCAAATGGAAAGATTTCATTTCCTTACATGAGCTACCAGGTTTATGATATATAGAAAGGAAGAGGCAAGTTAAGGTGAAAGAGGGGGAGAGATGGAGGAAGAGAGAGAAAAATACTAGGCGTTGAGTCACAACAAGAAAGACAAGTATCCTATGATCTCACTTATTTGTGGAATATAATGAACATAACAGTCTGAGGAATGGGGTAGTCCCAGAGACGTGGGAGTAGGGTACAGACTGACAATCCCCAGAAGAGGGGGTGGTGGGGGAGAGATAAACCACAGAACTTATATGCATGTGTGCATGAACATGGGCATGGACAACAAAGCAGGGGACAGGGAGAGGAGGGAGGAATCAGTGGGGGGAAAAGGAGAAACATCTATAACAAAAATAAATTAATTTAAAAAAGAAAAAAAGAAAGCTGGGCCTGGGAACTCCATGCTTGAAATGTGGATTGAGGGGCCAGGCCAGAGGGACCTGCCAGGTTCTGCTGTGTAATCTGGCACGGGTTTATCCTGGGTGACCCTATATGATCCTGTGTGCTGGGGAGGAAATTTGAGGGTTTCCCCTAGAGTGCCCAAACTCCACATTTCCACCAGCAAGCAGGGAGCTTTTTCCTTAACTCGCACAATCTTTCATACTCTGCACTGTCCAGGGAAGCCATGACCATCTGCAGAGAAAGATCTGGGTTCAGCCTTATACTGAACCCTAGTTCTTTATTCACTTTAAATTGCCATTTTAATTGAGTATCAGTAGAGAGAATGTGTTGAAATAGTTTCTCCTTTGGGAGGACATTCTAGTTAAAGGGAAGACCAGTTTACAGTATCATTTAAGTGATGATCTTAACCTCTAATAGTGGCACGCTTATTGATTATCTTCTATATGTCTAACATAAAGGCAAATTTGGCTTGATAAGTGCCTATCAAGTGGCATATTCTTAACATCTTACAACCAAAAAAGAATTAGTAGTAGTATCTCCATCCTAGGTTAGAAAACAGGTTCAGCCCTGGCCTGTGTTGTGCAGCTCAGTCGGTTGAACAGTGTCCTATGCACTGAAAGGTCGTGAGTTTGATTCCCAGTCAGGGCACATTCCCAGGCGGTGGGTCTGATCTGGGTGCATGTGGGGAGGAAACTGGTCGATGTTTCTCTCTCACATCAATCTCTCTCTCTAAAATCAATTTTCAAGATTAAAACACAAAAAAACAGGTTCAGAGGGGAGTCTGGACTCAGACTCAGATCTCTGGTTCCAGACCCACGGCCACGGCACGGCAGGAGCTGCTTCAGGGTGCAAGTGTCGCCCCTGGAACCTCAGGACAAGGCCACACGCGCCTTCGCTTGTTCCCTTACCTTGGCAAGAAGCAGCATCTTTACTGGAATTTTAAAGTATAAACAACATTCTAAACTTTAAGATATGATTTTTATTGAACATGTAGAAGATTCACTTTTACATTATTACAAATATTTTACAATGAAAAATCAGTTATGGGGGGGAAAAAAAAGGAAACATTTCCTGGATTTATAGTTGTGCAGGTGAAACAAAGAAATACATAAAAATGAAGGTCATTCTCCAAGTATTAGAACAGAATACTAATGGAATCACTTCAATAAAACTTTTTGCATCAACATTTACATGACCACTTATAACTATATTAACTTCCACAGAACAAATAAATGCATAAAATGAAGGTATCCCCCAAATAAAATGTATTTAAAATATCAAAATGAATGTAACCTAAATGTCTTCCTGTGCATGGGATTTGGTCAATGAATATCAAGAGAATTTTCATATATATACACACACACACACACACGCACGCACATGTATGTATATGATGAACATAAACATCTGTAAATGGGGAGCACACAGCCTGTGCACAGTGAAGACTCGCCAGCTTTGTCACGTGGAGCAGCTAGAAACCACCTACACCACCATTTAAAATAGTGTCTACAGGGTGGGGCAAAAGTAGGTTTACAGTTGTAAGTATGTGAGTTTATACTTGTAATATTATTTATTAATTATTGTATTATTTTCCATATGAACTGTAAACCTACTTTTGCCCCACCCTGTATATTATTTTATAAAAAGTCAAACATATAAGGGAATAATAAGGCCTTATTTTCAGAGCAGTCTTAAAATACGGTTAATATAGGCATATTTCTTCCTTTATATTTTTAGACTTATATTCTTTAACATCTCAGCTCTTAAAATTATGCATAGTACCTAGGTCAACATATAAAAAGCGGCACAACACAATTTCTGCTACAGTACCTGATTATATTCACATGACGTACCATGTAGGAGAACTGACCCACTTAAAGACCTGCCAAAATAAAATGCAAGCCCATCACGAGAGCCCAGTCTCTGCAGGGCGTTAGTGTATGCGCTGGAAGCCTCGCTCTTCAGAGTACTTCAACAGGGTACTTAATGATACTGGCAGCTGGAGCCTGCAAAGTGGTCGTGAGCCTGGAGATCTTGAAGTCTAAAATTCTTTCTGGATGTTTTAATTTATTAAGTCTCATTGCAGCCTGAGTATGTTTTGACTGGAGGATTGTAATTGTAGATACTTTAAGAATCTTGGTAAAAAAAAAAAAAGAAAAGAATCTCGGTCAAGATTTTGTCAGATTATAAATACTAATCCACGAGAGTTGTTTGTATACAGAGCCTTCAACACCACAGCAAAGGGAAGTCAACCAGCAAAGTATAAACTGATGGCCCAGGGCCTTCTTTGTCCTTGGCTACCCTTCACATCCTCTCTGGTCTCTGTCACCAGCACAAGTCACAGAAATGACCTGCTTTTTCAGTAATCCCCCCCAACAAGGCATTTAAGACTCTTATCACAAATATATAGCTTAAAAATACCATTAATCTTTTCTCTAGCACAGGGTTAGCAAATGTTACAGATGTGCAAATTCTCCAACACTGGGTGATCTGAAATTTGGTTTAATATTTAGAAATCAATGTATTAAGATCTACTTTCTCAAATTTGATTTTTTAAACTCAAAACGAAACCAAAGGTGGACTTGGTATTAAATAAACATATTTTTTTCAATAGCTACATGGTTAAGATATTAACAATACATGCTCGAAGAAAAGAACTTGGAAGTAAGGCAGACACTTAGGCAACCTTCAACAAATATTTTTAAGGACTGTAATAAAATGTGATTGCAAAGTATGCTGATGGAACACAAACTGGAATAAATTGAACCCAGACTTCCCTGACTACAGAGGACACTGCCATCTCTTTTCTTCCCAATGTTTCTATTTATTAAAATGTTTGTTATGTTTACTCATATATAAATCAAGATGTTATCTGGTGGCTGCTTCACTTATAAAGGTATGATTTTTATGCTTTTCAAAATCCACATTTTGTCATTAGAAAACAATTCTGTATCCTTTTCAAATACCAAGAGCTAGTCTTGGATCAAGGTCTAGGCCAAGGGCAGCCAAGGATGAGTAAGAGGGCTGGTGCCCGAATTATATCACCTTTGACCTATCTGAAGAATGTCCTCACTAAACCTTGCCTACAATCTAGTTGTTAGCTATCATTTCAAAACTCTGAAATAATTTGCAGAAGCGCCAATAAAAAATATAGCCTAGGAATATTTTGAAAATAGAAAAATATGTTTTTAAAAAAACATGTCATAATAAATATCTCTCTAAACAATCTTTTATCTCTCTTGAAAATTTCCTTTAATTTTTTTCTATAATATACAATAAATACATCATCCACTTGTTTATTTAAAGACAGCAAGTCTTTATCACTTAAGGTAACATTTTCCTTGGTTAGACTTAAATCTTCAGGTTAATTTTTTTTTCTTCAAAACATCTTAACAAAGAAAGTTTAATGACTCAGAAAATCCTATCTCTTGACATTGAAAATATTCTAAACTGAGGTGTCATCTCTTTAAAAATCTCAGAATCTATTTGTAAAAGTAGTTTCGGATTCATTTGGAATACCCAATCCTTGAAATCTTAAACATACACACACACACACACACACACACACACACACACACAATCCCTAACATGAACTATTCAAAGTTTCTCCAGCCTCAATTTGGATATTAAAATAATATTTTCTTAAAAATAACACCCCCCCCCCCTTATTTTGCCAATACGAAAATACATAGACCAAAGTAATTCTAACATATTATGTTTCTTGGACATGAAAGTAAAGACTGGGAATTTCTGGTTTTATAAGAATCTACATTTTTCTTCACTGACTGAGTGATTCCAAGAAAATTAAAATCTTTCCACACAGAAACTGTCACATAAAACCTAGAAAAACTCCTCAGGTGTATCTGCTGTGCTGCTAACCTAGATCCAGGTCAGATATTCTTACTTTAAAGGCTCTGTTTGATGTATACTCTAGTTTATTCTTGCCTCAAAACAACCGATTTCTGATATAGTAAGAAGAAAGCATAGCATCTGATCATGGGGTTGGGGGAGGGGCTAAGACAGAAGACCACAGGTCCGTGTCAAACAGCTGTCCCCTGTCTTTTCCACTCTCTCCTTGGAATAATTTTCAATTTCAGGTAACTGTGAACTTACAGAGAAATGGCTGCTCTGTTTCTCATCATTATCACAATTTCCCTCCAGTTGTTCTAAATTTTGACTCCTAAAACCAGCAGACATTAGTCAGTGAAAACAGCTCCTATGTTAGGGTGCATTAGAGTAGCTTAACACCCTGAACATTCACTCAGCTTCTCGGGTCGCTGACATGGTGCTAGTGAGAGTTCTGCAGCACATCTGATACTAACAGTAATGACACATACTGCATGATAACGGCACTGCACCGCGCACGGAGCTCAGACTTAAATGCACTGGTTTTCCACTTATGACTGTGTTTAGATTAAGCATTTTACAGGTTTCAATTGTAGAATAACTTTTCCCAAAGCATGAACACCCATACTTTTATATCAATTATTGTATCAAAAAGAGTTAATACAGTTAGTACAATACTCTAGGTAGTATAATATGCAAAATTTCCTTAACAGAAATTATAACTATCTTAACAGAATTTATAGAGTTTTTATCTTCATCTACTGTCTCTTAACCGTAAAATTGAGTAATTAGAGCCCAGATCTGTCGTGCAGCTCGATCACAGGTTTGGTACTTTAACACTAAAACCAGCCCCAGATGCACAGCGTTGTTTTCCTCACCGGGAGGCTTTGAAGGAAAAGGCAGTCTTTTCATGATCACGTGCAGTGACCACGGAAGCCGTGGACCCCAAACACACGTGACACGCGTGGCCCCGACATCACCACCCTGATGTCCCCTGAGTGTGGGAAGGGCAGTGGTGGGCACTCTCAGAGAAGTCGGTGCTGGCTTCCCCCGGCCACTCTCCAGACAGGTTCATTTACACAGAAGCGCCTGAAGACAGTGCCGCGGCAGCTCACGGGCCCACCTCTGGAACCCAAGGCAGCTCCCTTCCGTGCACCAGCTCGGCTCCTAGCGCTTGATCACAACTTGTTCGTAAGCTCCAGACACCACCCTAAAGGGCAGGACAAAAATTCCAAGTTTTGAGTGGTAGTGTTTGAGGTTGTTCCTGTTAACCTTGGCTCCAAAGAGAGAGTGCATCAGTCATTTTCTACTAGGTTTGATTTCCACAGGGTTTAAAGACATCACAGATAGAAAATACTTAAAATATTGAATGTTTATAATTAACACACTGGATTAGTCTAGTCCCTGATCCTCTTATACTTAACTCCCACGATAATCTAGTAATGGTTCCAAATTCTTACCCTTTCAACACGCTATGGAAAACATGTTTACATATAAATCCTAAAATCAGTCTCACCCAAGAACACAGAATGAATGGGTAATAGTTTTAAACTGCTTTAGTATATGTGTGGTGTATTAATGTACTTCCCTAGGAAGGGCAATCATTCTTTGATCAATACACAAATTTCTTTGTCGATGGTCTGGGCTGTAAATTATATCTATGTAATGTAGACACAAGTGAAAATGATCTTGAAGAGAGGTTTATTTCTTCACTAGCTTGCTTTGACAGACTGCTGGTTGTACCCCCAAATCTACTCTTCCCTTTTTCATAGTCTTAGCTAGGTACATACACACTGCTGGGTTAGAGATGACATCTCCTAAACTCCTTTGTAGATAGATGTGGCCATGTTACTAAGTTTTCCTCAGGGAACATGAATGGAAAAGTGTCAATTTCTGCCTCTGTTGCTTAAAGCAGCTATTTTCAACTGGTGTGCTACAAGAATTTTTATTTTCTTCTATTATTAAAAAAATTTTTTTTTTCTTTATTGATTTAGGGGAGAGAGAGATAGAAAGATCAATGAGAGAGAACATCGAATGGCTGCCTCCTGCATGCTCCCCACTGGGGATCAGGCCCACAACCTGGGCATGTGCCCTGATCGGGAATCGAACCGGTGACTCTTGGTGCATGGGTCGACGCTCAACCACTGAGCGGGGCAAGATGCAAGAATTTTTAAAACGTGCAATACCTGGCTATTTAGTCAGGGGCACTGACCTCTTTTCCTTTAGACTGTCAAATAAAATATGACAACAGCCAACATAACAATAGCTGTCTGGTATGAATGAACCAAATTTACACCTAATTTTTTGTCAGATCAGCAAAAAATATACTTTTTGGTGTGCTGCAGAATTTTAGTAATTAGTTTATGTGTACCACAAGGTGCAAATGGTTGAAGACCACTGGCTTAAAGGAAAACTGCTTGCCTTGGACTGGCAGCAGTCCAAGTTTGACAACACAGGTACGGAGGATGGAACCTGGGTCAATGAATCATTTCTGGGGCAAAGCTGTCCCATCAGCCTGGCCATTGTATTTTGGGGTGTCTTTGTTATAGCAGCTTGGCCTTTGCACTAATATACCAGGTAGTAACAAACCTCTACTAATGAAATATGGAGAGTACTAAAATACTTAAATTTTGCAAGCTTTGTAAATAAAGTACTTAGAGATATTTAAATTAAGTAATGGCTTCCTCAGCAGAAGGACTTTTTTAAAAATTTTTATTGTTGATGTACTTGGCCTTCTGTTACAATGAAATGAACATACATGCTCCCTCTACTGTTTCTGGGAGGATGAAGGTTTTCTACAAGCCTATAAAAACATAGTGTCTTTGTGATGGCAAGAGGGTTTATTTTTGGATGAGGATCATTCTATCCCTTCTTTGAGTCCCCTTGAATAATTAAGAGGAGGGATGAAGTGGTGTTGCATGGTTGGAGGGTATTATTACTTAAAAGTTTTCACCAGGTACTCATCTCCTCATTTGTCATGATGTCAGAGGCTACTTACTACCTGGCATTTCATGTAGTATGCCAGAGATCAGCAAGACCAGAACCATGGCTAGTCTCTGCCTTAGTGGGATTTGAGGAGGAAATTCTAAAGAATGGAAGTAAGGTTGTGGTTACCAGCCCACCATGGACCAAGTAGGACTTCTCACTGATTGCTCAGAGACTCCTGTTCTTACAGATTCAATCTCAAGAAGAAATAGGAGTATCCTCAATAGAACACCACTGAACACCCACTGATAGTGACACATAATCAGAATTTGAAGAGACCGTGGTGGGCATCACTGCACTCTGGCCTGTAGGTGCCCTAACATGGTCTGCTTCTCGCAGTGATGGAGTAACAGGAACCAGACCTTCCCTCCTGCTTTCCATACCTAGACATCTAAACAGAATATATGAAGTGAAAGTTTTCACACATTGCACTATAGGCAGCCCAGGACTGGTCCTCAGGGAAGGGAAATGAATGAAGCAGCCAGACCATGCCCCAGCTTGCTGCCGGAGTTGTTTCCTTCAGGATCCTGCCAGCCTCCGGCACAGGGAGGGAGAACCCAAACACAGCTGGGTCGTTCTGATGGGAGTCAGGTCACAGCTCAGGGATGCTGGGAACTAGAATTTCTTTAAAAAAAATTTTTTTTTTTTAATCCTCACCCAAGGATAGTTTTCTCCATTTATTTTCAGACAGAATGGGAGGGGGAGAGACAGACAGATAGACACTAATTTGAGAGACACATAGATTGGTTGCCCACCGCACAACCCCAACCAGGGCTGGGGATTGAACCACAACCGAGGTATGTGCCCTTGACTGAAATTGAACCCATAACTTTTGGTCTGTGGGTCGATGCTCTAACTGCTGAGCAAAACCAGCTAGGGTTGGCGGCTAGAATTTCTAGGACAGGCTATCAGAAGGAGTGGGGGAAATAAAAGCTGGACAATTTCCAAATTTGATGAAAACATTTTTTACATGTAATTATTTTTAAAAAATTATGTTACTGATTTTTTAGAGAGAGAAGAGAGATAGAAACATTGATGTGAGAGAGAAACATCAATCAGCTCTGCCTCCTGCATGCCCCCTACTGGGGATCAAACCCATAACCAGGGCATGTGCCCTGACCGGGAATTGAACCAGGACCTCTCAGTCTACAGGACAATGCTCAATCCACTGAGCCACACCAGCCAGGCAGATAAAAACTTCTTAAAACCAGTGATAAAGATAGTTGCTAACCTCATGTCACACAGCTCCATTTCACATGCCTTTCTCCTTAGAAGAACCTGTTATTGGCAATTCTCTAAGTAGGTTTACTCATAAGCCTGACAGGTATAATGGTTAAATGCAATGAATGGGCTTTGAACTCAAAGGAGACAAGACTTTGAATATTGGATTTACCACATACTAGTTTGAAGGTTTTGGATAAATTACTTTAACCTCTTTTATCTTTGTATCCTCTTTTTGATTTTTTTCCTTTTTATTGAATTTATTTATACTGATTAACAAAATTATATAGGTTTCAGGTGCATAATTCTACATACCAAGTATCTTTGTTTCCTCTTTTTAAAAACTAATCATAGTATGTTGTGAGTACTGAGAGAGATAATGTAAGGACTAAAATGTATTTATTATTATACATATATTATAATTATCATGCCTGCAAGTTCCTTTGGTTTGTTCCCACCATTGAGAATACCTGTCTTCCTCATACCCACCTGGTAACCCCACCTGTCTTTTATTCTCCCGAAGACGCTCTGTAGGTGCCAACTCTCCCAGGAAGTTTTCTCTGAGTGAGGCCCCATCTCTGTTCTTGAGTTTCCTTTACTTCTCTATATTACAGTACTTATCATACTATTATAAATTTTAGTTTATTTGTCTCTCTCATCTTGTAGAAAGAGTGAGGTACCAAATACTTTAGGCTTGGTGGGCCAAATGGTCCCTGCTGTACTACTTATTTTAGTTTTATTTTTGTTAATCCTCACCCGAGGACATTTTTCCACTGATTTTTAGAGAGAGTGGAAGAGAGGAAGGGGGAGAGAGAGAGAAACACCAATGTGAGAGAGTCACATCAACTGGCTGCCTCCCACAAGTGCCCGACTGGGGCCAGGGAGTGAACCTGCAACCCAGGTAAGAGCCCTTGACTGGGAAACATCGACTGGCTGCCTCCTGCATGCTTCCTACTAGGGATCAAGCCTGCAACCAGGGCATGCGCTCTGACCAGGAATCGAACATGCAACCTTTTGATGCATAGCACAACACCCAACCGACTGAACCACACTGGCCAGGCCAGAACTCTTTGCTAAATGTCCTTTTGATATTGCATCTTGCCCAATGCTCTACCAGTCAGTCCTCTACTAATACATTCTAAAATTACATCTAAGGAAATCAACAAATAAACATATAAAATATAATTTCAAACATTCTTAGAATAAGGAATACTCTGGGCTATACTAAAAGCTGTAATTCATCTTATGGAACTACTAAGATTTGTGTTTCCTAGCCTCAATCTCATACAAACTTGGTAACTTTCATCTTCCACTCGTGGATATTTAAAAGAAAAAGTCAGCCGTGGCCAGTTTGGCTCAGCTGTTAGAGCGTCGGCCCACGGACCAGACAGGCCCAGGTTCAGTTCCTGCTAAGGGCACGTACCTTGGTTGCTGTTTGTCCCCGGCCTGGTTGGGGTCGTGTGGGTACCACTCGTTGTGTCTCTCTCACATCTCTGTTTCTCTCTCTCTCTTTCACCTTCTCTCCCTCCAGCTCTATCTTAAGATAAATGCAAAAATGTCCTCGGGTGAGGATTGAAAAAAAAAAAGAAGAAAGAAAAAGTCAGTCTATTCTTTATTTTAACAAGGTACTATTTGGATTACGTACCTGTTTGGAAGATGATGACTGCCAAAGGTTGTCCTTCCCCCAGGACCCACGAATAACCGCAGTCCTTCTTCTGCACATTTAAAATATTTGTTGTGGGTACAGTTATTATTGTTAAATAATATTCATATTGTAATAAATTCATACTTTACATTTAAATTTTATTAAATAAATTTAAAACTTAAAAAAGCTATATACGTGTTTTAAAACAGACAATTTAAGAGTTGTCCTAATAGTTACTTCTCATCAACTTCCCTAAAGCTATTTTTTTCTTAAAACTGAGTAGAGAAGACAGCTCTTCCTATAAATTTCCACAAGAGATGTTTAATTATATCTCTTTACAACCATTTACATAATGAAACTAAGTCCATTGTTAACTGCTCTCTATTCACACCAGGATGACTAATTATACCTTTCAAACTGGTGGCATGTAAATTTTCAGTTTCAGTGAAAATGCTGAGGGAGCGAAGGATCCTGGGGCAGAATCCTTCATTGGAATCCCTATCATTCCAAGTTCGTGACCCAACCTTCCAGATTACAATAGTCACTTGAAGTACTTGTGTCCAGTTATGACAAAGCAGATGTAAATAGCTGTTATAAGGTATATAAACATAGTAGACATTGATGCATAATTTTAAAAATACAGTAAGAGCTTTCTTTAAAATTGAGATTTTCAGTTTGTTCTTTACCAAATTTAGTATCCATTCTTAGAAACAAATGAGCGCCCAGCCGGTGTGGCTCAGTGGTTTAGCACCAAGAGGTCATGGGTTCGGTTCCCAATCAGGGCACATGCCCAGGTTGTGGGCCAAATCCTCAGTGGGGGCATGCAAGAGGTGGCTAATAGATGTTCTCACTCATCAATGTTTCTATCTCTCCCTCTCCTTTCCTCTCTCTCTAAAAATCAATAAAGGAAAAAAAAATTTAAAAAACAAAAAACAAATGAGCTACAAAGTTATCTTCAGATTTTAACGGGTAAAATTTATTTCACAAACGTGCAACAGACAGTATTGTGATGCACTGGCTCTTTACTGCTGACCCCTGGGCCACACCAACCGCATCACACACATCTCCATATACTTAATGGTCATCCACACACCTTCTGCACTGGAATCGAGGCTGAAGTCTTGACTTTGTAGTATCTTCTCCACAATATCGTCTGCATCCACTCTGGTGTCATCAACTCGCTTCAGCTGAGATTCTACAGAATCTTGTTTCACTGGGCATCTTTGAAAATAATTTTTAAAAATCTCCTTTTTATGGTGCTGTGATAACAAAGTCCCCTGCATATGCCCCCCCCCCCCATTAAGCTGAGACCAGAAGGGTACCTGCTGAGTGTTTCTGAAGCCGTGTCTTCTTTATCAGCTGTCTCAAGATGTGGCTCCGCGACTTTTGGCTCAGTTTCATCAGATGGCTCTAGAATACTTTCAACTCCTGTTGATGTGCTTCCCTCTGAGGTGTTTCTCCTGTGGCAGAGCTCAGAGCAACTGGACGACCGGGAGTGGCACGAGCTGTACCCTGTTGGAGAGGATCACTCTGGATATGGAACCACACCAGACGCACTGCAGTCAAACCCTCTCCTCCCGCACCACAGCCCCTTCTAGTCCCGTTAGAGCAATAAAAGTCTAAGGAACTTGACTTCACTTCTGGCCTCTACCTGACACTTTTGACTGCTGGCTTGCGTAGCTTGATGTTCTCGAGTGTCCACGGGCACCGAGTTCATCGGGAGCTGAGGCACTCTTTGCTGAAAGATCTGTAATAAGTCATAACACAATGTTACTATCATTGCCCACAACTCAATGGTCAATGGCATCTGTATCTGCAGATTTCATAAACTGCCAAGTTCATTATCAAAAAAAGCAAGGTGCAAAGTGAGATTCCTTTAAATCAGTGCAATGTAAACAATTATATTGCAAGAAAATGAAAAAATTTAAATTCCTTAGTTTACTGAAGAAGTGTAGTATTTTTCATAAGATTTAATGCTCAGCGGTTGAGTGTGGATACATGCACCAAGAGGTGGCCAGTTAGATTCCCGGTCAGGGCATATGCCCAGGTTGTGGGTCCAATCCCCAGCGGGGGGCATGTGGGAGGCCACCAATCAATGTTCTCTCTCATTGATGTTTCTCTCTCTCTCTCGCCCTCTTGCTTCCTCTCTCTCCAAAATCAATTAAGAAAAAAAAATAGCTTGCATTAAAAAAAAAAATTAAGCCCTGGCCGGTTTGGCTCAGTGGCTGGAGCATTGGCCTGCGGACCAGAGAGTCCCAGGTTCGGCTCCTGCTAGGGGCACATACAAAAAAAAAAAATTTAAGATTTAACCAAACTCCACCTTAAATAAAACTTTCAGTTTTTATTGTTTGGTATTTCTAATAAAGAATGAGTCAGCAGTAGCATTCTTACAAATTCTCACTATATTGCTGGGTTTTTGTGGAAATCTTGCTCTCAAAATCCATCATAGCAGTGAAAGCATTAGTTACGCTCAAATTAGCATTGTTAGTGCTAGGCTGTGATTTGGGCACAGGTCTGTGTTTTAAGTCAATATGGCATGGAATGTAGCATTGAGAATAAACGTTCTTCAGAAACTGATTACAGTGTTCAGTTTCAAAGCAAATGTACAATGGAAAAGCAGTGTCAAAGCAATTTCTCTAGGGGTTCCCTGATAAAGTGCATATTCCAGAGGCCAGTTCTGTATTTCCAGAACCAGGCTTCTCCCAGAGAATGCAGAACTGTGGCCATTTTCATTGGGATGAAATATTTGGAAACTAGAACTGTTTTTCACTTAGAGGCAAAAGGAAACTAACTCAGTCACACAGCTATTATGGCAGCAGTTCTAAACGATATCAGGCATAGCTGGACCAACAACTGTTGTCAAGCACGTAAGCCCCTGGAGTGACCTGGTCCTTCTGCAAAGGGCTCTCATTTCTGGACAGACTGTAAGATATAATCCAGACCAGCACCATCGTCCTGCTTGACAGTGGTCTTAATGCCCACGTCAGAGACAACAAATTCCAAACTCAAAGATTTGGTCCATATCGAAATTATACAGGATTATCTAGACTCAGGGTTGGCTCTGATCTTAACTCATATGTTTATCTATTGGTTTACAAAATGTATTCATTCAATAGATTTTTACTAAGCTCTTATCAGGTCAGGTTCCCAAAACTGTAAATGATTTAGGGGGGCAAATTATATGCTTCGAGTGTAGAAGTAGAAGCAGTCACAGCACAATGTGTTGAGTACTAAAATGTGCACAAGCAACAAAAAAGCAGCTCTTAAGAGGTTTAGAAGGCAAGAGCATTGAACACCACCTGCTACTGGGGAAAAGACCTCCCAGAGGAGGTTGATTCCAGGTCTCTGCAAAGGTTGAGGAATGCCTCAGCTAATTAGGTGGGGACAAGCACGGGGCAGCACGGCTTGTTCAGTCAAGTTGGCACACAGGATGCAGGTAGAGGTGACTGAAGGAAAAAGAGAGATGAGCAGGTGCTGCTAATGAAGGACCTCCTATAAGTTTAAAGAAGGAAATAACTCAATTGCTTTAAGCAAGGGTATGACACGACCAGATCTATATTTTGGGAAGACCACTTTGGCAATGGGATAAACAGGGCAAAGGGGGAAAGGTTTTAATAACGATCCAGCTGAGAGTGAGAGATATTTAGCAGACACAAGTGACAGGACTCAATCCTAAGCAGAAGTGTGTGTCAGGATAACCAAGATAGAAACTACAGAAGGGGGACTTAAAAAGACTTGTGCTAGATTTGTGGAGCTGAGACACCTGAGGGCACCGTGTCATTCACTATTCAATGAACTTCTACTATGTCTCTGGCATTATGCTGGAGACAGGAAGACGACCAAGACCTCACCATGAAGAACTCAGAATCTAGCTGACGAGAAAGATAAACAGATGGGTTTCAGTCTAACATGTGACATGAAGTAGACCTTCCCAAAAAGCACTTGGAAATATGTACCTGGCATCCAGGAGGAAGGTGTGAGGCAACACAAATTTGTAAACTAAAAGTATTTAACTCTTACTGACATGATCACATTCACATTTGTGTGATAGTGAAATCCGAGGGTATAGATTACATTGTCCGGGGAGAGTGAGCAAAGGGAACCAAATCCTGTGGAACACCAATATTTAAGAGGAAGAGGAAAGAAAAAGAAGCCTCCAAGATGCTAGAAAAGGAAAGGCCAAAGTCACGGGAGCCACGGGAGCCACGGAAGCCATGGAAGCCACGGGAAGAGAATGCTTCGAGAAAGATAAACGGCCAAGTCAAACGAGAGCAGAAAAAGTGCCAAAGGAAGCGACAGTCATGTCACTGGAGGGCAGAAGCCAGGCTGTGTGTATGTTTAGGATTAAGTGGGCAGGATATTCTTTCTGGAAGCTTGGCTATAAAAAGTGTAAGAGAGGAGGAGGGGAAGGAGAGCTTAAAGAGCAGGAGATAGAGAAGGATGTAGGGCCAGTTAATGAATTTTTGTGTTTTCAGTATGAGAAAGAATTTGATTACTGAAATACTGACGAGGAGGAGCAAATGGAAAGGTTAAAAGTACACAAAGGATTCAGGATGCTAATCCTGCAGTGTCCTGTGGTATCTGTGGGGTACAATGTGTGTGGGGGGTGTCATCACAGCATTAGGCTTTTAACCTGTCAGGGCAAAACATTTAGACAAAACAAAGCATTGCCTTAACCAAAAACTGCATAATTGAAACTCTGCTGATACTAACCCACTTCAAGTCATATACCCAAAGAATTTTAAATGTGGGCAGGACTATAGGAATCTCACAGATTAAAAACCCAGTGAGCCCTGGCTGGTTTGGCTCAGCGGTTAGTATCGGCTGCAGACCAGAGAGGCCCGGGTTTGGTTCCCACTAAGGGTGCGTACCTTGCTTGCAGTTTGTCCCAGGCCCTGGTTGAGGTCGTGTAGGTGGCAACCACTTGATGTGTCTCTCTCACATCAATGTTTCTCTCTCTCTCTTCCTCCCTCTCTCCCTCCCGCTCTATCTCAAGATGAATGCAAAAAAAAAAAAAAAAAAGTTCTCAGGTGAGGATAAAAAAAATAACCCAGTGAACTACACAGCCATACCTGCAATTCCAAGATGGATTTTGAGAGTCTCTCCCCCTTTTCTATCTTCTTCCAGTGACTCGGATTCACCAGCAATTGGTATAGACATTGAAGTAGAAGGAGGCCTGGAAATAAGCATTTCTAAGCATCAGAACTTGGTTTACGGGTTAGAGACTAGTTGTGTGGTTAGTACATGGCCTCAGTAAGGTACCTGTAATGTTACCTCTTTGAGGGTGGAAGTAATAAAAGTCAACAAGTAATGTATGAGTATCCTCAAAACCATGGGGTGGGGGGTTCTTTTACACAACAAAAAATGTGAGCCCAGAAAAGAGAAGAGCTCTGTCAGTGTGTCCCCAGCACTATCAGTGCAAGGTGCTCCATCTGCCACCTTGAACTGCAGACAAGGCAGGGAAGCATGTGAGGTGGAGGAGGCAGCTCCAAGACCCTCTGATCTGAGGTTGGAGGGGAATGCCGCCTCCACCTCCTGCTGCTGCTGCTGCTGCTGCTGCTGCTGCTGCTGCTGCTGCTGCTGCTGCCGCCGCCGCCCTCTTACCGGCTCCACTAACTTCTTCAATGGTACTCATGGTTTTTGCATCTACTGTCTTCTCTAAAAACAGTTCACCTGCCCCAGGGAGAGCCTATAAACAGCCCCAGTTGTTTAGATTTGCTTTTTGGGCTGGATTCTCTGGAAGGAGGTAATGGATATCTTCTTCTTGGCTAATTCAAGGCTCCTGAATCCATGTGGAGCTGTGAAGCGGGAAGGCGCAAGTCTGAGTTCCAACAGGAATTCTTTTTTTTTTTTTAAATAAAACATTCCTAACCTTCTGAGTTTGATTTCCAGAGACCACATTTTCCTAGAGACTGCCCCTCGGTGACCTGAGATAAAATAGGAAGGGGTCGAAGTAATCGTGAAGCTGATTCAGATTCTTGAGGATAGGCACTTAAGATCGCCATTAAACCTATTTTATTTATAGATGAGTTATATCCCAGGATCTCCTAATTTCCAAAATCCCATATCCCATTGAGAAATCTTCAAGTATTTGTCCTGCAGGTACATCAAAGTCAATATATCCCCACCTAAACTCACCTTCTTTCTCCAAATCTGTTTTCTTCTTGTATTCCTTAATTCTGTGAATGCCTTCACAATCCACAAAGTCACCAAAACTAGACCCCGAGATGCCCTCTGTCTCCTTCCTACTCACATTTCTCCACATCCAATTAATCTCCAAATTCCACGGATTCTCTCTTAATATTTTTCCCATTCATCCTCTCTTCTCCACCCCCACTACACTTTAGTCTGGCCTTTGTCCTTTTGCTGGATAACTGCACGAGTCTCCTAGCTCTTCTTCCTGCTACTGCCACTGTGGTCTTTTTGAAATATGCACTATGAACTAGTTACTCTCTGATTTAAATCGCTTCAACAGCTCCTTAGGGATAATGGCAATACAAGGTCCTTTGCAGTTTGGCCTAGATTTACCTCTTCAAATACCAAAAGCTATATTTCTAATACAATAAATCCTCACTTAATATTGTTGATAGGTTCTGAAACTTGAAGCAAAACAAGACCAATTTTACCATAGGCCAACTGGTATCAACAAAAGTTAAGTTCCTACAAAATCTCATCAATGTTATAACAAAGCAATGTTATTCGAGGACCTGCTATAACGTGAAACAGCTTGGTGAAAAAAACCTGCAATATTCTGTAAGAAAAACTAATGTAAAAAAACCCCACATTTCCAGCTGGCTGTTGTGGCTCAGTTGGTTGAGCATCATCCCATGTACCAGGAGGCTGCAGGTTCGATTCCCAGTCAGGGCACATGCCCAGGTTATGGGCTTGATCCCCAGTAGGGGGCTTCCAGGAGGCAGCTGATCAATATTTCTGTCTCTCTCTGAAATCAATAAAAATGTATTAAAAAATAAATAAAAAGAAATACACCTCCAAAGAATGGAGTCCACAGCCAGTCATTAATCATTGATGTTGACTCAGGCCTGCCTGTCTAAACACTTATCTTTCCATGCCAGTTCCTTTGGTTTCCCTTTCACAGATGGCCTGATTACAGTGTCTCCAGCCCTCCACCTCTTAGACCTGTTTTCCAACCCTGTGGAGCTCCCAGCCTGAGGCCTCTTCCCCTTCTCGCTCTCTATCACTCTCCCTCTGGCTCCACTCGTTGCTGCCCGGCCTGACTTCACAGCCACAGCACTGGCAGCAATACCTTCAGTCTGGCACCCCTTGAGCTGCAGTCTCAACACACCTGAAGAACCCCAACCCTTGATAATTTCAGCCACTGTACTAACTGCTTTAATACGAGGGCCACTAAATATTATGGAGAGAATTCATCACCACGGGGATTGATATTAAGGCAAATGAAGGATCGAAAATCTTAGCTGGGCCTTGGCAGCTCCTTAGACAACTCAGTTTTGTTGAATAAAGAATCACTGAGTGGCTTCTGGTCAAGATGGTGGCGTAGGTAAATGTGGTATTGCCTCCTCCCACAACCACATCAAAATTACAACTAAACTACAGAACTACTATCATTCAAAACCACCTGAAATCAAGCTGAATGGAAGTCCTACAACCACAAAATTAAAGAAGCCACATCGAAACTGCAATTAAGACTCAATTACAACAGAAGGGCGCAAAGTCCACATGACGGGTGCACCTTGAGGGCCCAGCTGGGAGACCAGGGAGGCTGTGCCACTGGACCCTACAGGACACCTACTGCAATAGGCCACCCTGGGAAGCCCAGGAGATATAGCAGCTCTACCTAATACATAGAAACAAACACAAGGAGGTAGCCAAAATGAGGAGTCAAAAAAACACATCCCAAATGAAAGAACAGAACAAAACTCCAGTAAAAGAACGAAATGAAATGGAGATAAGCAATCTAACAGAAGCAGAGTTCAAAACACTGCTTATAAGGATGCTCAATGAACTTAGTGAGAACCTCAGTGAACTTAGTGAGGGCCTCAAGAACATAATAAAGGACCAGTCAGAAATGAAGGATGCATTAACTGAAATAAAGAATAATTTATAGAGATTCCATAATAGAGCATGTAAAGCCAAGAAGCAAACCATCAATTTGGAATATAAGGAAGCAAAAAACACCCAATCAGAACAGCCAAAAGAAAAAAGAATAAAAAAAAAAATGAGGATAGTGTAAGAAGCCCCTGGGACAACTTCAAGCGTGCCAACATTCGCATCATGGGGGTGCCAAATGCCCAATCAGAACAGCCAAAAGAAAAAAGAATAAAAAAAAAATGAGGATAGTGTAAGAAGCCCCTGGGACAACTTCAAGCGTGCCAACATTCGCATCATGGGGGTGCCAGAAGGAGAAGAGAGAGAAGAAGAAATTGAAAACCTATTTGAAACGATAATGGCAGAAAACTTCCCTAACTTGGTGAAGGAAACAGACATACAAGTCCAGGAAGCACAGAGAGTCCTAAACAAGATGAACCCCAAAAGAGGCCCATACCAAAACACATCATCATCAAAATGCAAAAGGTTCAAGCCCTGGCCAGTTTGGCTCAGCGGTTAGAGTGTCGGCCTGCGGTCCACAGAGACCCGGGTTCGGTTCCCGATAAGGGCAAGTACCTTGGTTGCAGTTTGTCCCCGGCCCTGGTTGGGCCCTGGTGAGGGTGGCAACCACTCGATGTGTCCTTTTCACATCGATGATTCTCTCTCTCTCTCTCCCCCACTCTATCTGAACAAAATATGGGAAAAAAATGTCCTCGGGTGAGGATAAAAAAAAATGCAAAAGGTTCAAGACAAAGAGAGAATCTTAAAAGCAGCAAAAGAAAAACAGTTAGTTGCCTACAAGGGAGCTCCCATAAGACTGTCAGCTGATTTCTTTCTTCTCTCTTTTTTTTAAATCCTTAACCGAGGACATTTTTTTCGTTTTTTGTTCAGATAGAGTGAGAGGGAGAGAAAGAGAAACATCAAGTGGTTGGCACCTCCATGACCCAACAAGGGCTGGGGACAAACTGCAACCAAGGTACGTGCCCTTAGCGGGAACCGAACCCAGCAGGGGTGCAACTTATCTGTATGTTCACAGTGCAGGCAGAATGCAAGTTATTTGGCCAGGTCTCTCTGGACTGCAGGCCGACGCTCTAACTGCTGAGCCAAACCAGCCAGGGCTCAGCTGATTTCTTAAAAGAAACTTTGCAGGCCAGAAGGAAGTGGCAAGAAATATTCAGAGTGATGAAAAGCAAGAACCTACAACCAAGATTACTCTATCCTGCAAAGCTATCATTTAGACTCGATGGACATATAGTTTCCCAGACAAGAAAAAGCTAAAGGAGTTCATCATCACCAGACCGGTATTATATGAAATGTTGAAGGGTCTTTATGAAGAAAAAGATAAAAAATATGAACAAACAAAATGGCAATAAATACATATCTATTGACAATTGAATCTACAAACAAAATGAACAAGCAGAACAGAAACATTCTCATAGATACAGAGAACATTTTGTTGGTTGCCAGATGGAAGGATGTTTGGGGGAATGGGTGAAAAAGATGAAGGGATTAAGAAGTACAAATTGGCTGTTAGACTGACAAACCTCAAAGGGAAGAGTAAGGGGAGAAATAAACTAAAGAACTTTATGCATATATGCATGAGCAATGGACACAAACAACAGTGTGGGGAAAGGCAGGAGGGGGGTGGGAAGGAAGGGGGTCAATAGGGGAAAAGGGAGAAACATCTGTAATACATTCAACAACAGAGATAAGTTAAAAAAAAAGAATCACTGAGTGCCTGTCACATGCCAGCTTTTATTCTGTTATGCCCTTTGCTCTGAAAATGTTTTTATATCCTTTATCAGAAATTATTTAATATGGCTCGATTACAGAAAAAGATGAAATTGTTTTGTTTTAGTTTCCCAGTAATGTTAAGAGCACGCGAAAAATGACCACCTACAATGACAATACTATCTATGTGGTATTCTGTAAACATTCCATGTCCTATAGCAGTGCCACAAACTTGGGCAAGCTCTTTTCTCTCCCTGGAACATCTCTACCCACCTCCTCTGCTTAGCAATTTTCTAATCATCCTTGAACACTTAGCTCAGTGTCACTTCCTCAGTGAAGACTTCCCTGGCTTTTAAGAAAAGTAGCTGGGGACCGTCT